CAGACCTGAAGGGCAACTAGGGGCCATAGTCTCAGTGGTTACACCAGGCTCCATTGGACCAGCAAACCTGGTCCCCACCTTCTTTTTTTTTTTTTTTTTTTGCCTCCAAACAATTTTGAGTTTTGTACCACTTTGTTCTCCCTTTTTATGTAGGATCTCCTACATCATTCACAATGCATAATGTTCTTGATGTCATCCCACAACTCATCTAGTTTTCTGCCACTGGTATTCAATGCATCAAATCTATTCTTTAGATGGTCTCTAAATTCAGGTGGTATATACTCAAGGTTGTATTTTTGCTCTCATGGGCTTGTTTTCATTTTCTTCAGCTTCAACTTGATATGAGCAACTGATGGTCTGTTCCACAGCTGGTCCCTGGCCTTGTTCTGACTGATGATACTGAGCTTTCTTCAGTCTCTTTCCGGAGATGTAGGCTATTTTATTCGTCTATATTCCATCTGGCACGTCCACCTATATAGTTGTTGTTTTATGTTGTTGAAAAAAGATGTCTGCAATGAGTAAGTCACTGTTTTTAGGCTGTTTAGTGCTGTCAAGTCAGATCTGACTCATAGTGACCCTATGTACAACAGAACAACATTGCCTGGTCCTACACCCTCCTTATGATCACTGCTGTTCTTGAGCTCATCATTTTAGCCACTGTGCCAATCCATCTGAGTAAGGGAAGACCTTTTCACTGACCCTCCACATTACAAAGCAGGATACCCTTCTCCAGGCAATGGTCCCTTCCTGATAACATGACCAAAGCAAAGAGATGAAGTGAGATCATTCTTACTTCTAAGGAACATTCTGGCTGTACTTCTTTTCAGACAGGTTTGTTTATTCTTCTGATTGCTATGGTATATTCAATATTCTTTGCCAAGACCATAATTCAAATGCATCAACTCTTCTAATATCTTCCTTATTCATTGTTCAGCTTTCACATACCTTCATATTTTCAATATGAGGCAACTGAAAATACTATGGCTTGGATCAGGCACACCTTAGGCTCCAAAGTGACATCTTTACGCTTTCACACTTTAAAGAAGTCTTTTGCAGCAGATTTGCACAATGCAATGTCGTTTGATTTCTTGACTGTTGTTTCCATGGACATTGATTACGGATCCAAGTAAAATGAAATCCCTGACAACTTCAATCTTTCCTCCTTTTTTCTTATGCTGTTTACTGGTCCAGTTGTGAGGATTTTTGTTTTCTTTATGTTGAGGTGTAATCCATGCTAAAGGCTGTAGTCTTTGATCCTTATAAGTACTTCAAGTCCTCTTCACTTTCACCAAGCAAGGTTGTTTCATCTGGTTATCCCAGGTTGTTAACAAGTCTTCCTCCAATCCAAATGCTATTTCCTTCTTCGTATAAGTTGTTGGTCTTGCAGAATTCCATCATGCAATCTCTTGTCCTTTCTAGGCCATGTTTTCCAACTACTGACGCTTCTTGTTTGCTTCCAACGTCACTTATAATCACCAGTAATTATCATTTCAAAATGCTGCTGCCATTGGGTACCATTGAGTCGTAGCGACTCCACGGACAACAGAACGAAATGCCGCCCGGTCCCGTGCCGCCTCACCCTCATGGCTGTTTGAGCCCATTGGCAACCACTGTGTCAGTCTGTCTCATGGGGGGTCTTCCACTTTTTCACTGACCCTCTACTTTTACCAAGTATGACGTCCTTCTCTAGGGATTAAGAAGTAAAAAAAACTGACAAATAAAAAAGCAGCAGCTTCAGGCAGCACAAAGATTGTCTGTTCCGTGTGAAGCTCATAGGAGGCAGGCCAGATGTGCAGGTCCCACTGTGCTACCAGAGGCCCAGGATCCTGCGTCCCCCATCCCACTGTGTCCATCTGTGGCTGACACCCTTGTGTCTACAGGACAGCACCTGCTACATGAGGTTGGGGACCTGCATTCCAGGCAGAAAGGAAAAAAGGAGGAGGGAGAGCAAAGGACCAAAGAGGCAAGAATCTGGCCATTTTTGTCCCCGGTGACCTCTCCATCTCTCATCAGCCAGGAATGTGGGACATGGCAACCGCTGGTTGCGAGAAATGCTAGAAGGCAGCATCTTTTCAGTTGTTGAGTTGGTTTTTAACATAGAACACTGCTGCCCTGAACAAAACCATGGCTCTGTTAGGAAGGAGCTTTGGTGGTGCAGTGGTTAAGTGCTCGGCAGTGAACAAAAAGGTCAGCAGTTCAAGCCCACCCAGCAGCTCCACAGGAGAAAGACGTGGTCATCTGAAAAGACTGTTGTGGTCATTAGATGCCATCTACTCAATTCTGACTCACAGCGAGCCCACATGACAGAGTAGAACTGCCTCACAGGATGCCCTAGGCTGCAATGTTAATGGAACCAGGTCACCATGTCCTCTACTGTAGAGTCACTGGTGGGTTTGAACTGCCGCCCTTTTGAACAACCGAATGCTTAGCCATTGTGTCAAGAGAGCTCCTTTCGTAATGGCTGTAACTTAGAAAACCCAATGGGGCAGTTCTACTCTGTCCCATGGGGTCGCTGTGAGTCAGAATCGACTCAGAGGCACCACCAACAGTTAGTAAGGAAGGAAAAGAGACCACTAGATTGACCACAAGTGGTGCCTGCACCTGAGCCAGCATCTCCATAAAGACCACAGAATCCACATTAGAAACACCAGGTACTCTGACCACAGTGTCATCAGCTGAGAGATCAGTCTCCCATTAGAATATTCATTCTTTTTCTCAAATAACCTATGAGTCAAAAAACTCAATAGATAGTGGGCAACATTTAGAACAAGATTGTAATAAAACTGCTAAGTATCAAAACTTCCTACTACACATCACCTCTTGGGTGATATCAGCAAGGACTTCAAATTCAAACACCAGTTGGTTCTGACTCACAGCGACCCCTCATGTGCCCGGACAGAACTGCGCTCCAGAGGGTTTTCCATGGTTGGTTTCTTGGAAGTAGATCACCAGGCCTTTCTTCCAAGGCACCTCTGGATGGGCCTAAACTTTAACCTTTCAGTTAGCAGCCGAGCACTGCACCATTTGCACTACCCAGAGACTCCGTAACCACCAGTTAAAAGCCAACTGTGGTAGAGTCAATTCCGACTCCCAGTGCAGAGCGGGACTGCCCCATAGGGTTTCCAAGGCTGGAATCTTTATTGAGCAGACAGCCACATCTTTTTCTCATGGAGCAACTGGTGGGTTTGAACCACCAACCTTTCAGTTAGCAGCCAAGTGCTTAACTATTGTTCTACCAAGGCCAGGGCTTGTGTTGTGAACCAAAGCCTGAAAATCAGTAGGCTCATGGCCTGCCCTGAGGACCATGCATAGCCGTCGAATCAGCTCCCACTCGCGGCGAGCCCATGTGGTGCAGGATATGCTACTCCAGAGGCTTCTGGGCTGTGACCTTTGTGGACGATCACCAGGCCTGCATTCCACAGTGCTGTTGGGTGGGTTTGAACCACCAACCTTTAGGTTAGTCAAGCACAGACCACCTGCCCCGTGCTAGGAGCTAAGGGAGGGATGGGGACAAAGGCAACCTCATGTCCACCCCGTTCCTGAGGTTTTCCTCGGCGTGGGCTCGCTTATGCACCACGAGTGGCGTGCTGCGACTGAAGGCCTTGCCGCGCTGCACACAGGCATGGGGCTTCTCCCTGGAGTGGGTCCGCACGTGCTTCCGGAAGGACGAGGTGTCGATGAAGGCCTTCTCACACTTGGGGCATGGGTAGGGCTTCTCGCCGGTGTGGGTTCTGCTGTGCACCACCAGGGAGGAGCTCTGCACGAAGGCTTTGCCGCAGCGGCCGCACCGGTAGCGCTTCTCCCCCGTGTGGGTGCGCACGTGCCTCCGCAGGTTGGACGAGTGACCGAAGACTCTGCCACAGTCCCCACACGTGTAGCGCTTCTCCCCCGTGTGGGTCCGCTGGTGCACGCGGAGGTAGGAGCTCCTGCTGAAGGCCTTCCCGCAGGCGCCGCAGGCGTAGCGCTTCTCACCAGTGTGGATCTGCGTGTGCACCGTGAGGTAGGAGCGCGTGCTGAAGCGCTTCCCACACTGGCCGCACGTGTATGGTTTCTCACCTGTGTGGGTCCTCATGTGAGTCTTGAGGGACGACTGGTGACAGAAGGCGCTTCCACAGTGGTGGCACGCAAAGGGGCTCTCGCCCGAGTGGGTGCGCATGTGTCTTCTCAGGGAGGACAGGTGACGGAAGCCCTTCCCACACTCAGCACACCTGTGGGTCTTCTCGCCCGGCGGGCTCCCCGTGCACCATGTGAGGCCTGGGCTCCTTCTCACGGCCTTTCCGCACTGATTGTACTCATGGGACCTTGCCCTCATGTGAGCCGCCACCTGCTGATGGAAGAGGCACGGTAACTAAATGTGTTTTACCATTCGTGACCTAGATCCCTGGGGGTGCAAGCCAGTAGTTGAGTTGGCATTCAACTACTGACCTAACAGCTGGCTGTTCAAAACCACCCAGTGGCACCATGGAAGCAGGCCAGGTGACCTGCCTCAGTAAACATCCCAGCCAAGACACCATGGCCAGTTCCACTGGCACACATGGGGTCACCACGAGGTAGCATTGGCTCCATGGTCTGGTTTTTGGGTTCCATCCCTTAAGCTCCCAGGGATTTCCCCACAAGAACACAGCTGTGAGAGCATGTTTATTGACCTGAAGAATGATGTCACGATTTTGCATGGATGTGAAAGGCTTCCAGGCAGGTTAAGTTTTCTCAGACTGACGAAGGCAAATGCTTTGCCAAAAGATTATATCATACTGAAAACTATCCTATGGCTTACTACAAAAAGTGGTTTTTGGATCATGGTTTGTTTCTGAATTCTCCTTTAAACATTCACTCAAATGGGAATATCTGTGACAATGTTTATTTGTGGGAATGATTCCACATGGAAACAAAGGCTGTAAGTTTGGTTTAGGACCAAATCCGGCCCGCTGCATGTTTTTGTGAATAAAGTTTTATTGCAACACAGCCGAATTCATTACGTCATGCATTGTCTATGGCTGTTTTCATACTACAACAGTAGAGCTGTGTAGCTGCAACAAAGACCACAGGGACCTCAAGGCCACAGAGGTTCCCCACTACCCTTGCACAGAAAATGTCTGCACATGTTTCTCCTCAGTTCGTACCTGTCATAGACTTGTCCTAAGACAGGATTTTCTCTTGAATAAAAGCTACTTGCCTCACGTTTCTTTTTCCCTCCCTTTTGGCCCTGCATTATCTCTCTGTGTGCAAAGGAGCAGGACCCATCCCCTGTGGATCTTACCATCTGCATGTCTTTAAATGTATTTTCTCCAAAAATATCCTCTTTAGAAGTTGACTCTTTGGTTTTAAGTTGAATCCTCCAGTCTAAAATGAAATGGACAAAAAAAAAAAAAAAATCAAGTTCTTCAAAAGGAAAAATGTGGTAATAATAAAGAGAGATAACCCAATTGAAAACTAGACAAGGGATTTTAATAGACATTTCTCCAAAAAAAGATACAGACTGCCCACAGCACATGGAAAGATGCTCAACATCTTTAGACATTAAACCCAAACCAGCTGCTGCTGTGTCGACCCTAACTCAAGGGGACTCCATGTGTCAGGGCAAAACTTGCTCCACAGAGTCTTTAATGGCTGGTTGTTCAGAAGTAGACTTCCAGGCCTTTCTTCCAAGGTGCCTCTGGGTGCATACAAACCTCCAACCTTCGGGTTACCAGCTGAGAACTTTTTAACAGTTTGTACCACCTGGGGGCTCCCATTAGCCATTCCATAAAACCAAACTTCCATCAAGTTGATTGCGACCCAGAGTGGGTCAGAATCACTGGCCTCCAAGGCTATAAATCTTTACGGAAGCAGACTGCCTCATCTTTCTTCCACAGAGCAGCTGGTGGGTGTGAACCACCAACCTTTCGGTTGGCAGCCAAATGCTTTCACCACTACACCACTAGAGCTGCTTCTATCAGCCATTAGGGAAATACAAATCAAAAGCACAGGAAGATTCTATTTCACACTCACTAGGATGTCTATAAGGAGCTCTGGTGGTATAGTGTCTAAGGCACTTGACTGCTAACCAAAAGGCTAGCGGTTCAAATCCACCAGCCACTCCATGGGAGGAAGGTTGGGCAATCTACTTCCATAATGATACTGTCTCAGAAACCAAGAAGGGGTCGCTATGAGTCAGGTCCAACTCCACGGCACATAACAACAATAACAAGGATGGCTATAAGGAGCTCTGGTGGTGTAGTGCCTAAGGCATTGCCTGCACCAGAAGGTTGGTGGTTCAAGCACATCAGCCATTCTGCAGAAGGAAGACTGGACAATCTACTTCCATAAAGATCTACTACCTCAAAAACCCAAGGGGGTCAGTATGAGGTGGAATTGACTCAATGGTTTGGTTTTTGGTATTTAAGGATGGCTATAGATGATAACAAATGTTCATAAGAATGTACAGAAACTAGAAACCTCATCCTCTGCTGGGGGGAAAGTAAAGTAGTGCAGCCACTTTGGAAACAGTTTGATTGTTCCTAAAAAGTTAAACACAGATGAACTACCATATGACCCAGGCATTCTACTCCTAGATATATACTCACGAGAACTGGAAACAGATGATCACACAGAAAGTTGTATATGAAATACAGCAGCGTTATTCATAATAGCCAAAATGTCAGACAACCCAAAAGGTAATCAACTAATTAGTAAACACGCTGTGGTGTATCTAGACAACGGAATACCCCCGGTGTGGTAGGTAAGTTGAGTGTCACCTTGGCTGGGCCTGGTTTTGAGTGGCTGGGCCTCTGGACGTAGTGATTCCTCATGATGAGACCGGTCATCAACTCCATGGTGGAGTCTACTGGAGCAGCTGAGCAGCTGCCTGAGGGATGTGATCTGCTCTCAATATGTAAGACGACGCTTCGAGCTTTCTGGCACATTTGGACCCTGCATGTAGTCCTCATCTATCTCTGGACTGGAACTAGTGGCCTGCCATGCTGTCCAGTAATCTTGGGACTGTGCCATTTTATTTGTCAAGCTCAGGTTTGTCAGCCTCAGCAGCCAGCTGCTGCCTGAGCTAAGAGATGCCTCCAGCTCCAGTGGGCCGGGAGCAAGAGGCGGAGCTGAAGCCCAAGGTTGAGGGGCCTTCACCCAGCCCCTAGAGTTGGTACTTTGAACTTGGACTTCTAAGAAGCCTCCTAAACTTAAGAGAATGAATCTCTGTTGTGAAGCCATTCACCTGTGGTATCTTCCATTAGATAGCACTAGAGGACCAAAGCACCGGGTCCTAACAAGGGATGAAATACTGGTCCATGCGGCAACACCGCCGAGCCCTGCGAGCATCGTGCTCAGTGAGAGGTGCCAGACACGCCACCACGTACTGTCTGACCCACTGACGTGGAAGGTCCAGAGCAGGCAATCCAGACAGGAGGCGGGTTAGTGGGAGCTGGGGCACGGGGGGTGACAGCAGAGAAGCACAGGCTTTCCCTCTGGATGCTGAGAATGTGCTAAAAGCGTGCATCTATTAGAACCTCTAAGTTGTATACACTGTCCATCCACACGATGCAGTCACCTAAACATCCCTCCATAGGTGATGGAGAAACACACTGTGGTCCACGCACACCATGGAATCCTACTCAGCCATCAGGAGAAATGAAGTCCTGATGTATGCCACCATGCTGTGAACCTTGGAAACGTCACGCTGAGCGAGATAAGTGAGTCACAAAAGGGCAAATACCATATGACCTCATTCACACGAAATAAGTAGCAATTAGACACCAAAACCACTCATCTGTCAGCCTGTCACACTGTGGGGGCTGCGTGTTGCACTGGAAGCTATGCCACCAGTATTTCCAGTACCAGCAGGGTCACCCAAGGTGGAGAGGTTTCAGTGGAGCTTCCAGACTAAGAAAGACTAGGAAGAAATTGATGATCTACTTCTGAAAAAAATTAGCCAGTGAAAACCTTATGAAAAGCAGTGAAACACTGTCTGATACAGTGCCGAAGATGAGCCCCTCAGGTCGGAAGCCACTCAAAATACAACTGGGGAAGAGCTGCCTCCTCCAAGTCGAGTCAACCTTAATGAGGTGGATGGAGTAAAGCTTTTGGGACCTTCATTTACTGATGTAGCATGACTTAACATGAGAATAAACAGCTACAAACATCCATTAATAATCAAAACATGGAATGTACGATGTATGAATCTAGTAAAATTGGAAGTTGTCAAAAAGGAAATGGAACACATAAAGATTGATATCTTAGGCATTAGTGAGCTGAAATGGACTGGTATAGGCCATTCTGAATCAGACAACCATATGATCTACTATGCCGAGAATGACAAACTGAAGAACAGCATCATGTTCACTGTCAAAAAGTACATTTCAAGATGTATCCTGAAATATAATTCTGTCAGTGACAGGATAATATCCATCTGCCTACAAGGAAGATCAGTTAATATGACTATTATTCAAATGTACCCACCAACCACTAATGCAAAAGATGAAGAAATTGAAGATTTTCACCAACTTCTGCAGTCTGAAGTTGATCAAACATGCAAACAAGATGCACTGATAATTACTGGTGACTGGAATGTGAAAGCTGGAAAGAAAGAAGGATCAATAGCTGGAAAATATGGCCTTGATGACAGAAATGATACCTGAGATGTCAAGAAAGAATTTTGCAAGAACAATGGCTTATTCATTGCAAATACCTTTTTCAACAACATCAACAGCAGCTTTACATATGGACCTTGCCAGATGGAATATACAGGAATCAAATGGACCACATCTATGGAAAGTAATGATGGAGAAGCTCAGTATCATCAGTCAGAACAAGCCAGGGGCCAACGGAGGAACCAACCAACAACTGCTCACATGCAAGTTCAAGCTGAAGCTGAAGAAAATGAACACAAGTTCACAAGAGCCAAAATATGACCTTGAGTATATCTTGCCTGAATGTAGAGACCATGTGAAGAATAGATTTGACACACTGAACACTAACGACCAAAGACCAGATGAGTTCTGGGATGACATCAAGGACATCATACATGAAGATGGCAAAGACAGGATTAAAAAGACAGGAAAGGAAGACAAGACCAAAATGGATGTCAGAAGAGACTCTGAAATTTGCTCTTCAATGGAGAGTAGCTAAATTGAATGGAAGACATGACAAGATAAAAGAGCTGAACAGAACATTTCAAGGGCAGCCCGAGAAGACAAAGTGAAGTACTATAATGAAACGTGCAAACACCTGGAGTTAGAAAACCAAAAAGGAAGAACATGCTCAGCATTTCTCAAGCAGGAAAAACTGAAGAAAAAATTCAAGCCTCAAGTTGTAATATGGAAGAATTCTATGGGCAAAATAGTGAACAATGCAGGAAGCATCAAAGGAGGACGGAAGGAAGACACAGAGTCATCGTGCAAAAAGGAATGAGTTGACATTCAACCATTTCAGGAGGTGGCACACGATCAAGAACCAAGGGGGTGCGACAGGGTTGTATCCTTTCACCACACTTACTCAACCTCTATGCAGAGCAAATCATCCAAGAAGCTGGACCAAACCAGGATGGGAGGAAGACTCATTAACAACCTGTGATATGCGGATGACACAGCCTTGCCTGCTGAAAGTAGGGAGGACTTGAAGCACTTACTGATGAAGATCAAACACTACAGCCTTCAGTATGGATCACACCTCAACAGAAAGAAAATGCAAATCCTCACAACTGGACTAATAAGCAACATCATGATAAATGGAGAAAAGACTGAAGTTGTCAAGGATTTCATTTTACTTGGATCCACAATCAACCACCAAGAAAGCAGCAGTCGACAATCAAATGATGTACTGAATTGGGCAAATCTGCTATAAAAGCTCTCTTGCAAGTGTTAAAAAGCAGTATGTCACTTGGAGGACTAGGGGCGACGGACCCAAGCCATTGTGCTCTCAATCACCTCATGTGCATGGAAAAGCTGAACAATGAGTAAGAGAGACTAAAGCAGAATCGATACATTTGAATTAGGGTGTTGGCAAAGAGTATGAAATGTAATGGACTTCCTATACATCTGTCACGGAAGAAGTACGAGATTGGTTCCTAGAAGCGACAATGGTAAGGCTTCATCTCACACCCTCTGGTCATGTTATGAGGAGGGGCCGGTCCCTGAAGAAGGACATGATGCTCCGTAAAGGAGAAGGTCAGCGAGAAAGGGGAATGCCCTCAACAAGATGGACTAGCGCGGAGGCCGCAACAACGGGCTCAAACACAGCAGTGCACGCGAGGCTGGCCCTGGCCCAGGCCCAGGCCCAGGCCCAGGCCCAGGCTGTGTCCCGCTCTGTTGTGCACAGGGTCGCTGTGAGTGGAACCAACTCCATGGCACCCAATGACAATAACAACATAGAAACCAAAGCCTGAGAGATGACCCCGGGGGATTTGCTTAGGGCTGTGAAAGTAATTTAAATTGAAAGGTACTTGACAGGACAAGTCCATTGTGCTTGGGCCTGAGCTCAGCCCCAGCTGCTGTAAGTTTTGTTTCTCCTTAAGGGACGCCTTCCCTCTCTAACTTTGCCTGGTGCCCTGCAGTCCCCGCAGGTGAGAATGGGGTTTTACTTCACTCATGTGAGCAGCATGTGAAGCACCTGCTGGAACATGTGGTCAGCCAGTTCTCTAAACACGCGTGTTCCCAACGTTCTCCGGATTGTTCCAATGATTCAAAAGCTACGTTTGTTCCTTTGGTCATGTAACTTTTCTCTTTCGTGGTTGTGGTTTTGCCCTGTGAAAGGTTTCTTGCCTGTTTGCCCTTCAGCGTAATACAGCTTTATTGTTTATATATTGCTGCCCACCTACAGCTGTTAAACTCAATAAAACAGGTTTTTTTTGTTTTGTTTTGTTTTTTATTCCATACAGCGCAAAAAGGTTCTTTCTTTGATGGGCAGTGAGTTCACATTCCTGGTGGTGGACCCCGTGAAGAATGGCGTGACTGTCCCTGAACTGCACGTGGAAAGAGAGCTGGGTGCTGCAGACACTTGCACTGAGCTGGTTACCAGCACTAAGGTGGTTACCAAAAGGTTGGCAGTTTGAACCCACCCAGCTGCACCCTGGAAAAAACAGGCCAGGAGATCTGCGTCTGCAAAGGTGATGACCTAGAAACCACAGGGGACAGTTCTGCTGTGCAACACATGGGATCTCCAAAGTCACAGAGCCAACAACAAAAACAAAATCAACAACTAATGATACTTGTAGCAATAGTTTGGAAAAGTTTCCTCGCTGAGTTTGCCAAACTAACCCTCTTGCCATAGGGCCTGGATCCTTGTCTGGCTGGGGGCCATCCTGGGCACTGGGGGGTGTTTAGGAGTCACTTGATGCTGGTCGCAACTATTCCCACAGTCATGACGACCACAGATGCCTCCAGAGTCGCCAAGTGTCCACTGGGTGGCCTCCAAGTACCAGGCTGATATTTGACTAACTCTCTGCCGATACTGCTCACTTTTAGAGGTGCCACATAGAATTCTTCTCTCAAGTGTCCTTGACTCTTCTTGGTTCCACTGGGAGAGCCCACGAGGTCTGCATGGCTGACACTCTGATCCTGTGGACATATGTACGTGGGAGGACTTGGCAGGGAACCCCAAATCCTCCACCAACTGCGGCTGATGCTGCAGTCCTTGGGGCTGTTGAGGACTGGGCTATCTGCCTCCAGAAGCAGCAGACCCCAAGGGACAATTTCAAGTTCTTTTCCACAGGGGCCCACACTACCAGCAGCACCAGCCCTCTGAGCTCCATGGGCATTAGGAAACAGGAAATAGTGACTCCAGTGAGAAAACCCTCACTCCCACAGGGAGCCACTCTGCTCAGAACCTCAGTGCACTCCTCCCCTGGTGCCATGTCTGCGAGAGCACAGACGAGGGAAACGAGCTTCGGGGCAGGGACCCTCAATGCCAGCGACTCCATGCCAGGGGACAGGTGGCCTCATGTCGGGACATCTGGCTGTCAGGAAGCAGGTATGGAATGGGAATGCTACCAGAATCAAATGGGTCAAGGCCAGTGATGCTATACAACACCCTACAGTGCACAGAGGGTCCCATCCCAAAGAATGATCTGGCCGCAAATGTCAGCAGCACAAAGGCTGAGAAACTTGGCATTAATCACTTGGGGAATAATTGTGTTCAATCCCTACCTCATACCATGTTGCTGTTGTTAGGAGCCATTAAATCAACTCCAGCTCACAGCAACCCTATATAACTAACCCAAACATGGCCTGGTGCGGTGCCACCCTCACAGGCCTGCTGTGCCTGAGCCCATTGTTGCAGCCACCATGTCAGTCCACCTCACTGAGTCTCCCTCAGCCTGCTGGCTCTCCACTTGACCACACACGATGTCCTCTCCAGAGTCTGGTCCCTCCTGGTAACACAGCCAAAGGAAGTGAGAGGCAATCTGGCCGTCCTCTCGTCTAAGGAACATTCTGGCTGTCCTTATTCTAAAACAGTTTTGTTCATTCTTCTGGCAGTCCCATGGTATATTCAGTACTTTTCATCAATACCATAACTCAAAGGCATCAATTCTTCTTGGGTCTTCCTTATTCACTGTCCAGCTTTCACATGCATATGAGGCGATTGAAAATACTATGGCTTGGGTTAGGTGCACCTTAGTCTTCAAAGTGACATCATTGCTCTTCAGCACTTTGAAGCAGTCCCTTGCAACAGATGTGCCCAGCGCAATACATCTGATTTTTGACTGCTGCTTCCATGGGTGTTGGCTGAGGATCCAAGTAAAGTAAAATCCTTGACAACTTCAATCTTTTCTTCATTTATCATTATGTTGGTCCAGTTGTGAGAATTTTTTTTTCTTGATGTTGAGGTGAAGTCATACTGAGTGAGGCTGCAGTCTTTGATCTTCATCACTAAGTGCTTCAAGTCCTCTTCACTTTCAGCAGCAAGGTTGCGTCATTTGCATATCACAGGTTGTTAATGAATCTTCCTCCAATCCTGATGCCACGTTCTTCTTCATTTAGTCATCTCTCAGACTATACCCCAGAATAAAATCCTGATGGGTTACAGAGTATAAACCAGGGGGCCCTCCAGCTTCTCTCATTTCCCTCTTCTCCTCCCCACTCAGTCTGTGGACTGAAATGTGTGCCGTGTCCTAGGATGTCAGTAGGCCAGATAATTATGGGATGCCGAGTCTCTTGGAGGGGTGGGGAGCAGAGTTCAATGGGATCCACTAACAAAGAGATTCTTACCCAGGGGGATTATGCCCCCCTTGGGGACACTGGGCAATGTCTGGAGACATTTGTTGGCGCTAAGACTTGGAGAGGGTGTTACTGGCAATGAGTAGGGAGTAGGTGGAGGACAGGAATGCTCGTCAACATCCTATAGTGCACAGGGCAGCCCAACCCCAGAGAATGATCCAGTCCCAAACGTCAGCAGTGCCAAGAGTGGGAAACCTTGCATTAATTATTTGGTATGAGGTAGGGACCTCATGTCATACACCAGAATAAACTTCTGACGGGTTACATGGAATAAACCAGGGTGACCCTCCAGCTTCTGTGACTTCCCGCTCTCCCTCCTCACTCAGTACGTGGACTGAAATATGTATGACATACGAGGACATTAGTCAGGTAATTATGGGTTACAAAGCCTCTTGGGGGGAGTGTCAGTGGAAGCCCCTAACACAGTGATTCCCAATTGGGGGTGACTGTGTCCCCCAGGGGACTCTTGGTAACACCTGGCGGCATTTTTGTTTGTCACAATTCGGGAAGGGGTGTTACTGGCATCAAGTGGGTGGAGGCCACCCCAGAGAATGATCCAGTCTCCATAGCAGCAGTGCCGAGCAGGAGGAGCCCCGGTCGAGGGAACATGAAGCAGTGACGTCAGCCTTACCAAGTGACACCAGGTTCCTGTAGTTTTCCAGCATCACCTCTCGGTAGAGAGTCCTTTGAGAAGGGTCCAGCAACATCCACTCCTCTGGGGTAAAGTCCACAGCCACATCCTTGAAGGCCACTGATTCCTGAAACATCCCACATGTTCCAGCTCTGCCAGGGATCATCCCTACCTGTGTCCAGAGAATGGGGGTGAGAGTGGTCACATTCAGTGTTCTGAGGTCACCCACCCATCTGTCCCCAAGCTCAGGCCTCAGAGTCTTCCCTGAGTGACTACATCCAGGCTGGTGGCTTTAAAGGCTTCTCTAATGCATGACTGAAGACTAAGTGTGACTTTCTTCAATTACACTGGGGCTTCTTCAACCTCCTCAGACCTGTCCCTGGTTCCCACACATGCCCACAAACAGGAAAGAAACACTGAGGGAACAAGTGAATTCTTCACCTCCTAATGTTCCTCCTGTTTCCCTGCCAGGACCCAGCAAAACATGAAGCAGCAAGTCAGCCTGGAAGAGGGTCCAGTGAGACTCTAAATGCTGGGGCGGAGGAAGCATTTCTTGAGCTGTCCTTCAATCCTAAGAGACCCAGGGCCTTTAAGGAACCTGGAGACCAGCCCTCACGGGCTGCCAACTCCAGACCACAGGAAGGAGAAGGGGTCCATTCTTACAACAAAAGGAAAGTCTCTTTGCAGGATGAGAAGGGTTTGTTTTTGTTTTTTGTTTAACTTTTTACTATGATTTGGGTGAAAGTTTATCAAGCAAATTAGTTTTTCTTCCAACAGCTCATTCACGTTTTGACTCGTGACACTGGCTGCAACCCTCACGATGTCACAGCGCTGCCCACCTCCTCCCTGCGCTCCCCGTTTCCATCCGTCCTCCTTTTCTATGCTGCCCAGCCTTCTGAGCTTTACCCCTGACGCATGCCTGTCCCTCCCGGTGCCACTGTTCACGTTACAGGACTCTCTCTCATTTGGCTGAAAGCTGAGCTGCAGGGGTGGGACGAGGAGTTGCCCACTCACCTGTGACCAAGGTGTCAGAGACCCAGCACCCATGCCTTCCTCCTCCACATTCCCTTCACGGGGACGGCCAAAGTCCTGAGCAGGCAGAGCTGGGGGGACAGGGCAAGAAAGGAGCTGGTGACTTGAAGAGAAAACAGTTGCCACTGAGGTGACCACTCCTAGCAAGCCTGTGTGTGTCAGAGATGAACCATGCCCCATGGCGTTCTCAATGGCTGTGATCTTCTGGAAGGAGATGCCCAGGCCTTTTCCTCTGAGATGCCTTTCATCAACTAGAAACTCCAACCTTTCGGTTACCAGCTAAGTGTTCACCGTCTGTACCAGCCAGGGACTCCCAAGTGACCTCAAGCCGTCCCAAGCCCTCAGAATCATAAGCCTGGAAGCTGCCATGCCACCATCCCCAAGCAACTCCAATCAGGCCTGCCCGGTGCCGCGGGCCCTGTGACTCACGAGAAAGACAGCGACACTCTCACGCTACAGATGAGAAAACTAATTCCGCGCTCACTGTTTAGCTGCCCAGTAAAATTCACAAATGAGGTTTTTCAATTGCTCCCCCAGAAAACTCCCTCCCAAATTTACAGAAACGCCATCTCAGACATCAGCAGAGCAGGGCTCCTGGGCCTCTGCTTTAGTACTTTCTGCTTTGTCCTGTCCTAGCCAGCCTCTGCTATGACTACTTGGTTCCCCAGCCTTGCAACTCCCTCCCAGGGGAGACGCCTCCTAAGTCCTTATCTCTGGGGGTGCCCACTGACCAGGGACTCACCCCGTGTAGACTTCACATCAGTGGCTGCCATCGTAGGAGACTGTCAGCGGAACGTGCTTGCTGGGCTTACCAGCGGCAATGGCAGCACATTCCTCTTCGTTCCATCCTCCCATGGCCTCTCGGTCTCAGCACCACGGCACCTGCAGACCTGTCTCTGAGAGCAATCACTGTTATAAATCTCCTGTAACTTAACAAGAAACGAACACACAGGCCAATCAAAGAATGCCTCTTAGACCCTGGCATCTGGAGTTCTGCCATAATCAACCATGAAGGAACAGTCTCACAGTTCCTCAGAAAGTTGGACACAGAACTACCATGTCACCCAGCAACCCCAATCCTAAGTATCCACCTGGAAGCGATGGGAGGAATGCAAACAGAAACCCGAACGCCAGCGTTCATCACAGCACTGTTCACTACAGCCAAGACGGAAACAACAAAAGGTCCATCAGTGGATGAATGGGCACAGAAAATGTGTTCCATCCATATAATGGAGTACTACTCAGCCATGAGGGAGCTCTGGTAGCATA